GTGTTTTTCATGTGGAATCTGTTGGAATCGTCCCTCAAGTACAGCCGAGGGCAATACGTTCAATCTTGCGAGAGTAAAAGCACATCTATATTTTAGAATTGCTAGGTTATGCAGCTAGGGTGCCAGAGAGTCAAAATTGGAAGGTGGAAAATAGTCATACCATGGGACAAAATGTCCTTATTCTGGCCAAGTTGTTCTGACGCTCAATATCATTTAAAGGTAAAGGTACCCCTGACCATTAGGTCCAGTCGTGGACGACTCTAGGGTTGCGTGCTCATCTTGCTCTATAGGCTCAGGGAGCTGGCGTTTGTCCACAGACAGCTTCCGGGTCGTGTGGCCAGCAGGACTAAGCTGCTTCTGGCGAACCAGAGCAGCGCACGGAAACACCGTTTACCTTCCCGCCACAGTGGTACCTATGTATCTACTTGCATTTTGACGTGCTTTCGAACTGCTAGGTTGACAGGAGCAGGGACCGAGCAACGGGAGCTCACCCCGTCGCGGGGATTCCAACCGCCAACCTTCTGATCAGCAAGCCCTAGGCGCTGTGGTTTAGACCATAGCGCCACCCGCGTCCCTTCAATATCATTTAGGCGCTGACAAATTAGACTGTTTGCTTTACTAAAACCCAAAGTGACTAGCTGTTGTGGTGATAAACCACAAGAGTGAAGTTTTGGATAGACAATTTTAGCCCAGGCTAGCCAAACCCAGCTTGATCTGATCTAGTAGGGCCCTTCACCACTTCAACTCTTTCTCCCACGCACAGAAAACATCCGTAAAGTGGAATCTGGGATTCCTCTGGCAATTCCTCCTTTCCTTTTTAATGATTTAGACTGCAAGAGTTATTATAGCTTAATCAAGCCTCTGTGTCGAAGCACAATCTATCTTTGAATAGCAGATGTTGCTGGTGGTGGAGGAGGGGAAAAACCAAGGGAAGTCTGTTTCCTTCCTGTCTTTCTTGTGGGATTCCCGGAAGCAGCTGGCGGGCTGCTGTGTGAAACAGGAAAACTGGTCTGCATGGATCTGCTTCAGGCTTCTCCGTTTGGCGGGACCCGGTGCAGTTCTTGTACCCTTAAATCCTCGTGTAAGCACCAATTTGCTTGTTAAAGCTAGATGGAACCTCCATGGCTGTGTTCAGTCTACCTCCAAATGCCAGCTGCTTGCAAACCTAAAAAAAGTTAAGATTCTAGGCCTCATGCTCCTGAGAAAAAATGATGAGAGAGAAAACAGCCTTTTTCTGCCTCTTTCCTAATGCTAGGAGCTGGGGGAGCCCACGCAATGGAGCTGAATGTGGACGGATTCAAGACAGTCGAAAGAAAGCGCTTTCTTGACATGGGAGCACAGTGAAACTATGGAACTGGGTGCCGCGGAAGGCAGTGAGGGCCAGCAACTTGGGTGACTTTTAAAAAGCATCAGAGGATAAAAAGGCGGTTGGAGGATGGATGGCGGCTAACAGATTGAGGTTGAATCCTGACAAGACAGAAGTACTGTTTTTGGGGGACAGGGGGTGGGCGGGTGTGGGGGATTCCCTGGTTCTGAATGGGGTAACTGTGCCCCTGAAGGACCAGGTGCGCAGCCTGGGAGTCATTCTGGACTCACTGCTGTCCATGGAGGCGCAGGTCAAATCTGTGTCCAGGGCAGCTGTTTACCAGCTCCATCTGGTACGCAGGATGAGACCTATCTGCCCGCAGACTGTCCTGCCAGAGTGGTGCATACTCTAGTTATTTCCCGCTTGGACTACTGCAATGCGCTGTACGTGGGGCTACCTTTGAAGGTGACCCAGAAACTACAACTAATCCAGAATGCGGCAGCTAGACTGGTGACTGGGAGCGGCCGCCGAGACCACATAACACCGGTCTTGAAAGTCCTACATTGGCTCCCAGTACGTTTCCATGCACAATTCAAAGTGTTGGTGCTGACCTTGAAAGCCCTAAACGGCCTCGGTCCTGTATACCTGAAGGAGCGTCTCCACCCCCATCATTCTGCCCGGACACTGAGGTCCAGCTCCGAGGGCCTTCTGGTGGTTCCCTCCCTGCGAGAAGCCAAGTTACAGGGAACCAGGCAGAGGGCCTTCTCGGTGGTGGCACCCGCCCTGTGGAACGCCCTCCCACCAGATGTCAAAGAGAACAACAACTAACAGACCTTTAGACGACATCTGAAGGCAGCCCTCTTTAGGGAAGCTTTTAATGTTTGAGGCATTACTGTATTTTAATATTTGGTTGGAAGCTGCCCAGAGTGGCCGGGGAAGCCCAGCCAGATGGGGGGGGGTATAAATAAATTATTATTATTATTATTATTATTATTATTATTATTATTATTATTATTATGTATAGCTACCACTATATGGGCCACTGTGAGAACAGGATGCTTAAACAGCTACAGGGCTGTTTGGGTGTTCTTATGGAACCTCCAGGTTCAGATGCAGTCTATCCAGATCAGATGTAGGCGAACTCAGCCCTCCAGCAGTTTTGGGACTACAACTCCCATCACCCCTGACCACTGGTCCTGTTAGCTAGGGATGATGGGAGTTGGAGTCCCAAAACATCTGGAGGTCCGAGTTTGCCTGTCCCTGATCTAGACTCCTTGCTTGGCAGGGGTAGTTGATTACCTCCCAAGGTGAGCTAAGCCTGGCAGGACAGCTTACTCTATGGTTTTAACCCCTTCAGGCAGGTTTCTCACGATCTTCTCATGAGCATCTCTTCCCAAAGGAAACAAGTCAGTCAGTGGGGCCAGGATGATGGGCTCCACAGTCCTTGCCGGCATTCAAGCTGAGCCTACTCTCACCTGCCCCGTATTAAAAAAATAGTTGGCAAAAAACAACATTGGATAGGGAGTGGGCTGGGAAGGGGAGAAATTTGCTCTGGTTCATATTGCAATTGCACTTCTTGAAGCAAATTGTGGCTATCATTCCAAATTCACACTTTTCTTATTTTCGTGATGGGGTTCTCCAAGGAGGAGGGATGGGGGACCTGGAGAGGAAAAAGGAGAATGTTGCTGCTGCTGTTTATTACCGGTCCTTCACCCCAAGGTGCCAGGGAAGATTACAACGTTTAAATGCAATATTAACAACTTACAATTGCAGAAATAGCCCGGGTCCTAAAAAAACCACAGACCTGACACTCAAGGCAGTAGAAACATGAGATGATTGGACCCCACTGAATTCGAAGCATGGGAACCCCCAACCAAAAAAATTATAATTTGGCAAAATATTTGGACTTTATGATATGTATTTGTACAATTTGGAATATTTAATGTGATTTGATTGGTTTATTAAAATGGAAAACTTAATAAAAATTATTTTTAAAATAATAATAATAAAACCCCAGACCTCTCTGATCTCAAATAATGCGAAAGGTAGGCAAAGCGATGCACAGAAACGCCTTATATTGCGGGAAACGGCTTGCAAAAAATGTGTGTGCGAGACAGAATTCTGTGCATTGGGATAAATGCATGCCAAAAAATGCTAGAGAATTTCCACGAGGACTTTCCTTTTTTTAAAAAAAAAAAATATGCAAGCGGCTGTTTAAATCTGAGGAGCCGAAGAAGGACCAATGAGAAAGCTATTGAAATAAAAACAGGCCGGTTCTCAATCTCCCTATCCTACACGGCAGGACTGGGCCAGGTGGGTCTGCTCACGGTTTTGGCTGCCCCTTCTTCTTCTGCCCCGCCATGGCTGCCTGTCTTAAGGAAATGGGAACACTCTGTGCATTGGAAAAGAAACCTTTATTTGTTTGGTTTTCAGTCTGCCCAATCCCTGAGTCGAAATCCCTGAGATCTTCAGCAAAACTCTTCTCAAGCGACGAAAGAGAGAGCAACCCGTTTTTTTGCTGCAAGCTGGTCTTCCTCTGGGGCAGCTGTCCAGGGTGCTGATCTTGCAGCGAGGGCTGGACTGTTGCCTGCAACTCACCAAGGCCGCAATACATTTAAAGCTCTGTGACTGCCGCTTTAAACAGCCGTGGCTCCCTCCCCCCCCCCGAGGCATCCTGGGAACTGTAGTTTGCTAAGGGTGATAAGCGTTCTTAGGAGACCTCCCAACCCCCCAGTAGAGCTACGATTCCCAGAGCGGTTTAGCAAACGATCCCTTTCCCCAGGGAACGCTTTCCCATCAACTGGCGCTTGAGCTCTATGGTTCCCATCAACCTCGTCAGATACCATCATGATCAACAGCCAGAGGTGGTGATACAGACGTCGAAAGGATCTGTGACTTCAGAGGAGAAGCAAAAATAAAAAAAGTAGTGGCAAGGTCTCTCCCCCTCCCCCCACACCAAACATAACAAAGTAAACATCCACAAACAGCATTTAAAGAATATAAAACACAACATTTCTTCTCATTGATGATGGACCAGGAAGGTTTGGGATAGAGCTTCGGTGTACGCAGCCAGAGGTGGTTTTGCGGTTTACTGCCCATCACTCTCCCCTCTGGATTTTTCGAAACTCGGTTTTCATCTCCAAGTTTCTAGTCCTTACCGGCTGCAGAGATGAGCTGCGGAGCACGCAGGCTTCCGAAGACATCGGAAGGGAGGCTGGGAGGGGCTGAGTTTATGATAGGGCCACCCCACAAACAAGTTCTGTGGGTGCTACCAGCCTGCCAAAGAGATCACAAGAAGCACCCCTCGTCTTGTTTTCTCAACACAGGGCGAACCCATTTATTCTTCTCCAGCTGGCCTGATCCAACAGGGCTCGTCTCATGGACCTGATGGAACCTCCAGGCCCAGAAGCAGTCTACCTGGACCCCTAGCTTCTTACAGGCATTTGAGCACCGTGAGAGTGGATGAGTCCTGTTATGTACTGAAGTTCTCACCCTGGGCCAGCAGGGGGATACTGTAGATAGTTATGCAAATGAAGGATCGAAAGTGACGTTCAGTGATTCGATAGTTTTAGAAAGTTGTTACAGTAACGTGGTACTGGAGCTCTATATAAGCAGGCTGACTGAGCCCTTCAGTTCAGTTCTGTCCTGGCCTGTGAATAAACAAGAGCTGTTTGAAGAATCGCTGTGTTGTCTGATATGTTTGCCCACAACTTAACAAGTCCCCTCTCCTTTGATCCAGCAGGGCTCTCTTGTTATGGAGCCCCCAGGTCCAGAGGCAGTCTATCTGAATCTCTAGGTCCTTGAAGGATTTGGCCAATGTTAAATTTCGTGTCTCCCCCTCCCCACCCCACATGCGCGTTCCTTTCCACCTTTTTCGTCCTCCTCTTCGGTGGGTTTCACAACTTCCCCTCGTCGATGAGACGGTTCATCCCCTCGCAGATCTTCTTCAGCCGCGGCTGGTAGGGCTCCCCGGGACTGTAGAGCTTCGCCAGGAGCTCCGTGTCGGCGAAGTGGTCAAAGACGTGCCGGATGCGCCCGTGAGACTTGGGCGTCAGGTGCTTCTCGACCAGCCGGAGCAGCAGGTCCCTGCAATCTCTCAACAGCTCGGCCAGGACGGCCTTCTCGAAGGTGAACTCCACCTCGTGGAAGCTGATGGCCGTCATGGCTCCTTGGTGGAGCTTCCTCTTGAACTCCTCCGCCAGGGCCAGCTCCTCGGGGCTGAAGCGGTTGTTGCGGTACAGGACGGAGATCTTGACCGCCACCTTGATGAGGTTCTTGATGACCTTCTGGGACTCGGTCCGGTTCTGCGTGTACTCCTTGGAGATCCGGTATAGCTCGTCCAGGATCTCGCTGCTGGTGTCGTCAATGAACATATTGGCCATGGACTTGCTGGCCATTCGGCTGAGAATCTTCTTCTCGGCCTGCATGGCCAAGTTGCGGGAGCTGAACGCCTCCATCGTGGCTGCCTGGAAAAGGCAACGGAGAGGTTTTATAAGGCTGTCTCGACTCGCCCCAGGATAACCCCCCTCTCCCCAGGCCACTGTTAAGGATAATTACTTAATTTCCCGAAATGGGAATATTTACTTACGTTAAATTACGGTGTACTTTTAACATGGGGTTTCCCCTCTCTCATGTGATATGCTGACTGTGAGTCACATGAGAATGTCATTCCGTTTCTGCTGTGACTGTTATTCCACTAACTGTCATTTTTAACTGGCTTCTGTTTGTGTGTGAGAGGGAGAATGGCTGCTGACAGAGACTTCTCAGGACAGTGTTGTGTCTATATGATCTGTCTGAACATTCTCCGTGTTGAACCAGAATTCGGAGGTGAGGAATATAAGAGTTATGTGTGGGATAACCAGCCAGATATAACCAACATGCTTAAGTCTTAATTAATGCATGAAGGGGTTAAAACCATAGAATAAGCTGTCCTGCCAGGCTTAGCTCACCTTGGGAGGGACTTAGGTAATTAAGACTTTGTTCCCCTCCAATCTACCTGAGAAGCTCAGTGAGCTGGTTGCTCCAAGTTCAGCTCGAATGGCTCTTACAAGCCATTCTTGTGCTCCTTTACCAATAATTTAAGAATTTTCACACTGTAATGAAGCCACGTTTTACTGCCTGTGCATTGTTTTCCGAATGCTGTATGGAAAAAGCACATGAATATGACCTTTAGAGAGTTTGTAAGTAAACCATTTTTAACTTACCAAACATGTCGCCTTTTTCTATGCTATGGGAAGAGGGGACTATTCTGGAGCTCATTCACGAGAGCATATTTTAAAAGCCTAACAACCTATGTGTCCACACTGATTTCGTGATTTTAAATCTCTGGAAGGGTTCTCTTACCAAAGAGTCCTTGCCCCAAACCTGGATCTTGGCTTCCATGGAATTCTCCTTTAACTTCCCCCCCCCTTGCCACCAACAAAAGGGTTGGGCATGCAGCCCCTGGGGTAATTTCATGGGGGTGGGGATAGCACTGAGGGAGAGGAGCAAAGCAGGAAAAGTGGGTGGTGGGTGACAGATGAGAGAGGGAGAGAGAGAGAGAGAGAGAGAGAGAGACAGACAGACAGACAGACAGACAGAAGTCTATAACACTGTCTACCAGTGGCTCTGGCCTTGCCCATTGTCAGCATGCAGCCCCAGACAGATCCTCATTTTTGCTGCAGCAGCAAAAACCCCCAATGCAATTCTAGGCTGCATTGACAGCAGTCTAGTGTCCAGATCAAGGGGAGTGATAATACAGTGGTATCTCTGGTTGCAAACAGGATCCGTTCCGGAGGCCCGTTTGGAACATGGAAAGAACACAACCTGCAGCGGCGCGTCTGCGCACACGTGGGTTGCGATTCGCTGCTTCTGCGCATGCGCGTGACGTCATTTTGCGCATCTGCGCATGCGCGAGTGGCAAAACCCGGAAGTAACCCTTTCCAGTACTTCTGGGTCGCTGCGGGATGTAACCTGAAAGAACCTCACGTGAAGCGGACGTAACATGAGGTATGACTGTACTGTTGTATTCTGCCTTGGTCAGATTCCACGTGGAATGATGCGTCCGGTTCTGGGTACCAAAGTTTGAGAAGGATATTGAGGAGCTGGAAAGTGTGCAGAGGAGGGCGGCCAAGATGATCAAGGGTCTGGAAACCAGGCCTGATGAGGAACAGTTGAGGAAGCTGGGTAGATATGATAGCCACCTTCAAATACCTGAAGGGCTGTCACAGGGGAGAATGGAGCAAGCTTGTTTTCTGCTGCTCTGGAAGGTAGGACCCAAATCAACGGCTTCAAGGTACAAGAAACAAGATTCCAATGAAGCAGCAGGAAGAACTTCCTGAGAGTAAGAGTGGTGGACTCTCCTTCCTTGGAGGTTTGTAATAATAATAATAATAATAATAATAATAATAATAATAATAATAATAATAAATAAATTTATACCCCGCCCTCCCCAGCCAAGGCCGGGCTCAGAGCGGCTTACAAGCAATAATGAAAACAAGATGAATGATTACAACTTAAAAACAAAAATAAAATACAACATTAAAATAATGGAACATTAAAATATTAAAATGTAGCCTCATCGCAGGAGGAGAAGGAAAAGAAAAAAGAAAGAGAGGGAGGGAGGGAATCAAATTGGCTCCAAGCCAAAGGCCAGGCGGAACAACTCTGTCTTACAGGCCCTGCGGAAAGAAATCAGATCCTGCAGGGCCCTGGTCTCATGAGGCAGAGCGTTCCACCAGGCCGGGGCCAGTGGTGAAAAGGCCCTGGCTCTGGTTGAAGCTAATCTAACTTCCTTAGGGCCCGGGACCACTAGGGTGTTGTTATTTATGGACCTTGAGGCTCTCCGTGGGGCATACCAGGAGAGGCGGTCCCGTAGGTACGAGGGTCCTAGGCCATGAAGGGCTTTAAAGGTCAAAAGCAGCACCTTAAATCTGACCCTGTACTCCACCGGGAGCCAGTGCAGCTTGAAAAGCACTGGGTGAATATGCTCCCATGGCAGGGACCCCGTGAGGAACCTCGCTGCAGCATGCTGTACCTGCTGGAGTTTCTGGGACAGCTTCAAGGGCAGCCCCACGTAGAGCGAATTACAGAAGTCAAGCCTGGAGATGACCGTCGCATGGTTAGATGAATACTTTTTTAGCTGAGATTCCTGCATTTCAGGGGGTTGGTCTAGATGACTCTTGAGTTCCCACCCTACAATTCTATGATTCTATTAATGTGACAGAAATATATATATTATATATGTATACAGTCATACCTCGGGTTACAGCCACTTCAGGTTGCTTTTTTTGGGTTACGCACCCACCAAAACCCGGAGGTACCGGAATAATAATAATAATAATAATAATAATAATAATAATAATAATAATTTATTATTTATACCCCGCCCATCTGGCTGGGCCTCCCCAGCCACTCTGGGCGGCTTCCAACAAAACACCAAAATACAATAACCTATTAAACATTGAAAACTTCCCTAAACAGGGCTGCCTTTAGATGTCTTCTAAAAGTTTGGTAGTTATTTTTCTCTTTGACGTCTGGTGGGAGGGCATTCCACAGGGCGGGTGCCACTACCGAGAAGGCCCTCTGCCTGGTTCCCTGTAACTTGGCTTCTCGCAGGGAGGGAACCGCCAGAAGGCCCTCGGAACTGGACCTCAGTGTCTTCTCAGGTTACTTCCGGGTTTTGGGCGGTTGCGCATGTGCAGAAGCTCCGAATCGCAACCCGCGTGTGTGCAGACGCGCTGCTGCAGGTTGAAAACGTGCACCCCGCACGGATCACGTGCGCAACCCGAGCGCCCACTGTATATTCCGCACTCCTGCAATAAAGGAAGGGTGTATGTGTGCGTTTCTGCGAGAGGGGTGCGTGTGGAGAGAAAATATATTCTCATCCATCTATGGGACACTGGAAGCAGCCAACATCTGCGGAACTGACCGCAGGAAGGTATCTTTGCATGCTCAGATAAGGAACAAGGCGGTTGATGCTGGGCATGAACGACGGACCCAAAATGCCGGCTGAGTTCGGAAGAAGAAGCTAAATCTGAGAGTCTCGGAGCGATGTGGCAAACCAAGGCAGTTCTGCATTCTGCACATGACATGCCTGTGGTTTTTGCTCACTGTGAGGAAGTGGGCCTCAGATAAATCCTGCTTTAAGACGCCGCTGCTTTGGCAGAAAGACGGACGAACGCGGCTACCCCTCTGGGAACCGAACCTACCTTAACTCTTTTTTTAAAAAATTAATTGCAATGATTTAATCTCTGCTTGGTCTCTCCGTACCTCCTCAGTAGGGTGAGATGTTCAGGGATGCCCAGCGAGAAACGTGGGGTCGTGGCAGTCTTCGTACACCAACACCGTGATGGAACAGGCCTCTCCTTCCACTCCTGTGAACCAGTGCACCGCCAAATCTCCAAATGCGGCTTGCAGCACAAAGCTGATTTTTTCTGTCGCCTCTTCTTTTTCAAACCAGCGTGCGAGGGGGATCTGCCAGGCACCGTTGCAGCCCTGCCTTCTCACGATGCTTCGGAATATATTTTTAAAAGTCAGCGTTTCCTTCCCTTCTCTTCTCCTCGCCACCCCCACAGATGCACTGGGGTTTCCTGTTTTTATCCTTCTGTCAAAAGCCAACAAGCCCAGCTCCTTCCTGAAGTCTGTTTCAGAGTTTCAAGGTGGTGGTTGAGCGGCACACAATAGAGCCCTCCTGACCTTTCGCTCTGCCCCTCTGCCCAATTGCCGTATTTTTCGCCCTATAAGACGCACCAGACCACAAGACGCACCTAGTTTTTGAAGGAGGAAAACAAGAAAAAAATATTCTGAATCTCAGAAGCCAGAACAGCAAGAGGGATCGCTGCGCAGCGAAAGCAGCAATCCCTCTTGCTGTTCTGGCTTCTGGGATAGCTGTGCAGCCTGCATTCGCTCCATAAGATGCACACACATTTCCCCTTACTTTTTAGGGGGGGAAAGTGAGTCTTATAGAGCAAAAAATATGGTACTTTCTTTTTTAGTAGTGGGGAAATGTAGTCCCTTATGATCTGCTCACGCCACACCTTGCAATGCTTCTTGGATCCTTGAAGGAGAGGGCTGCGCGGCTCAGTGGTTAGAGCACCTGCTTTGCATGCAGAAGCTCAATCCCCAGTGACATCTCTAAACGGGACAGTGGTTGGACTTCGTAGAATCGTAGAGCACCCGAGACAGATGGCCGTCCAACCTCGACTTAAGGCAGCTTCCGACACTGTATACCTGAAGGAGCGTCTCCACCCCCATCATTCTGCCCGGACACTGAGGTCCAGCTCCGAGGGCCTTCTGCCGGTTTCCTCATTGCGAGAAGTAAGGTTACAGGGAACCAGACAGAGGGCCTTCTTGGTGGTGGCACCCGCCCTGTGGAACGCCCTCCCACCAGATGTGAAGGAAATAAGCAGCTATCCTATCTTTAAAAGACATTTGAAGGCAGCCCTGTTCAGGGAAGTTTTTAATATTTAATGCTGTATTGTTTTTAACACTTGATTGGGAGCCACCCAGAGTGGCTGGGGAAACTCAGCCAGATGGGCGGGGTATAAATAATAAATTATTATTATTATTATTATTATTATTATTATTATTATTATAGCTCTGCTTTGCAGGCAGCCAGTGCCAATAGGCATATCCAGGTAAGAGACCCCTGTCTAAAACCCTGGAGACCACCTGCCAGTAAGTGTGGGGAACACACAGCTTGATGAACCCCACCGGCCTGACTCTGACAAAGGCATCACGCTCTCTTCTTCCTGTGTTCCAGATCCTTGTGTGGTTTGTAAAGGAAAAAAGATTCTTGCAGCTACATCCTTGCCTCTTGCATATCCTGTCCCCTTTTAAGGATTCCTCTGTTCCAGGAGGGAGGATGCTAATTAGCTGGCTGACGAGCTGCAGTTTAGCCTTGCCACTTAATGGCTTCCAGGCTCCGTGTAATAATGAATGAGTGTGTCTTAATTGCAGGCGACTGAAATAGACATCCTTGACGGTGTGTGGACCCGGGCGCAAGCCCTCAGAAGGCATATTTGGGAGGAGAACCATTTCCTCTAGGTGTGCCACCTCCCCCTGCTGTATCCTGGCAGGGTCTGGGTAGCTGAGCAGCAGGCAGAAATCCAACAGGTGCAGCCCTCGTACGTTCCTCTCGTTCTGTGAGGGCTGGGTCACTTAGCTAGAGTCACAGCAAGGCGACATAAAACGAGGGTCGCCATTCCCGGCTTTCTCCTCAACGCCGTGCTCAGGTTAGTGGCAACAGAAGCAGAAAGAGGCAAAACTGCGAGGCGAAACTGTTTTTCCACACTTCCGCCATCTCAACGAAAAGGAGAAAAGCAGAACTTGAAAGGCATCGATGGGGAAATGCGAGCGAAGCTTTTGAAATTGGGAACAGCACGGGGAGAGAAGGGGGTGGGGAGGGACTTTCCTGTCTCACAAGCGTGGAATTTAGGGTTTTTTGCCGAGCAAATTTGATTGGCGGGAGGCCCTAAAAGGCGACTTGTGGTTGACCTGTGGAACTTCCTTCCATATGACGGGGTGGCGGCTGCTAGGTTCAAAGAAAGGGTTGCACAGATTCTTGGAGAGGCTTCATCTGTCTAGAGGAACCTCCATATACAGGGATAGGCTACCTTTTGAACATTTGATAGCGGGGACTAATAGTGGCAGGGAGCTTTCTCAGGGAGACACCTGGCTGTCCACAGTGTCAGGAACCTGGGTGCAAAGCAAGATGGAGCTATTTGGGTCTGATACGGCAAAGCGGTTCTTATAGGGCTGAGGCAACGCTGGAAAACTGTGGCCTGCTCCCTTTGCCAAAGGTCCTAATAATGGAAAAAAGGCTGATCTTTGCCTCACCCATGCATCACCTTTGTGCAGCTGCATTTTCAAGTCTTGAGGACTAGCACCTTGCTGTACACTTTCCAAAGAAAGTAAGGCACTCAACCATGCACCCAGAACACTGTCCGGACACTGAGGTCCAGCTCCAAGGGCCTTCTGGCGGTTCCCTCACTGCGAGAAGCCAAGTTACAGGGAACCAGGCAGAGGGCCTTCTTGGTAGTGGCGCCTGCCCTGTGGAACTCCCTCCCACCAGATATCAAAGAGAACAACAACTACCAGACTTTTAGAAGACATCTGAAGGTAGCCCTGTTTAGGGAAGCTTTTAATGTTTGATGTATCACAGTATTTTAATATTTTTTCGGAAGCCGCCCAGAGTGGCTGGGGAAGCCCAGCCAGATGGGGGGTATAAATAAATTATTATTATTATTATTATTATTATTATTATTATTATTTCTTCTACATTCTGCCCACATGTAGTCTCATCTTAAAGGACGATAACCACTCAGACTAGTTTTCCAGCAGTGCTGAGTTTCAACATTGCAGGGGGTTGGACTAGTGAACCCTTGAGGTCCCAACTCTACGATTTGTCGGGCTTTTCATGGGCCTTCGGCGCATTAATTCCCATGTGCCCAGCCTCAAATGCCTGAAGCCTGTTTACTCAGCGTGGGGTGTCGACGCACTCTGCCCATGCCCAGGGGCGCTGCGGTTCTCTCCGAAGACTTATCATGCCCTAAGCAAAAGACCTGACTTAGAAGCTTAGCTTCTGGGGCCGAAGTTTTCCCTGATCTTAACCTGCAGACACACTTCTCGGTTTTTCGTTCTCTCGCCGCCCTGGTGACTCAACCCCGCCGACTTGTCGCGGCTCGCCCGGGAGGAGCACGAATGCTCAGCGTTTGTTGAAAACAGAAAAGAGACCAGCGGGCGTCTCCTTGCCCAAACAGACCTGCCTTCTCTGCCCCTTGCTCTGAAGCACCTCTGTTCTTAAGCCCTCCCGGCAAAGCGCGCCTCACTCACCGTGGGACCACGATGCTCTGCAAGTCATGCGAACGGCCCTCCGCCAGTCCTCGAGGAGCGAAAGGAGAAGCAGCCCGGACCCAGCAGGCAGGAGCGAGACTGTCGGGTGGCCTCGGGGAGACTTCCTCGAGTGACAGGCCCGCCCTGCGTCAGCTGACGGATCTCGGCTTCATTCTTCACAGGCGGAAAGCACAGCTGCCTGTTGAAAGGTGCCCAGGGAGCAGAGCGACTGGCCGGCCGCCTCGACCGTCTGCATATTTTGTGACCTGCTCTGTTAGCATCTGTAGCCTGCAGGCTTCCCCACCCACTCCTGCTGGGAGGTTCGGCTCCAGACTTGACCAGACAAGGCCTAACCTGCCTACCTGAGCATGTGTGCGTGTGTGTTTCTCTGCGTCGCTGGCGCCCACGGGGATGCCGGTGCAGGGCCTTGGCGGCAGCGGCGTCTGATTGGGCAGAGCGTTTGGTTCATTTATTTATAATAATAATAATTTCTTATTTATACCCCGCCCATCTGGCTAGGCTTCCCCAGCCACTCTGGGCGGCTTCCAACAAAATATTAAAATACCATAATCCATCAAACATTAAAAGCTTCCCTAAACAGGGCTACCTTCAAATGCCTTCTAAAAGTCTGGTAGTTGTTGTTCTCTTTGGTGGGAGGGCGTTCCACAGGGCGGGTGCCATCACCAAGAAGGCCCTCTGCCTGGTACCCTCCTAACTTGTAAATTTACTGAATTTTTCCATGTATAATACTATATCCCCCCCACATTTTTTTAGGTTTAAAATTGGGGCTTCGTCTTATACACGGAATGTTGCAATTAAATATATAAATAAATTTATTTCTTCATTTTGGGCTCAAAAAATAAGGGTAGTCTTATACATGGGGGCATCTTATACACAGAAAAATACGGTACAGTGGTACCTCGGGTTAAGTACTTCGTTACAGAGGTCCATTCTTAACCTGAAACTGTTCTTAAGCTGAAGCACCACTTTAGCTAATGGGGCCTCCTCCTGCCCCCGCGCTGCCGGAGCACGATTTCTGTTCTCATCCTGAAGCAAAGTTCTTAACCCGAGGTACTATTTCTGGGTTAGCGGAGTCTGTAACCTGAAGCGTCTGTAACCTGAGGTACCACTGTAGTTCATCACGTAGCGCAGCGGTTCTCAATCTGTGGGTCCCCAGGTGTTATTGGACTACAGCTCCCATCATCCCTGACCACTGGTCATGCTGGCTAGGCATGATGGGAGTTGTAGTCCAACGACATCAGGGGACCCACAGTAGCGGGGAAAAAGGAGACAATAAAATTGTGGGTTGGAAACAGCTAAAAACAAACACTCGAAAGCGTTTGCACCGATAAACCGAAAGCAGGCAAAACTCACACATCAACAGGGTTGTGTTGCCTGAAGAAAAAAATGCTTTTAGCAGGCGCTGAAAAGAGTACAGCGAAGGGGCCTGCCGGATGCGTCAATGGGCAGGGAGTTCCGAAGTACTTTTATATGGCGCCCCGCCATATTATTTCCCTGTTTTACGAGGTCTCGTAAGCGAAAGGGAAGAGGGGGAAAGGGAAGAGGATCTCTGCCCTCAGGGAGTTGACAATCTAAGCTGGACAGTGGAATGCGGCAGAAGGGAGGGGACAGGAAGAGGTGAAGGCCGAACATGGGCCAAGGGACAAGTCTCTGCCCGCAAGGCGCTTACACAATCTCAGTTCGACTGTAAGAAACGGGTGGGAGAGAGAAAGGCGAACAGTTCAAGGGCTGAGCATGAATGAATAATCTCTCTCTCTCTGAGAGTTTGGTTCCAGTTTGGGGCGTGTGACAAAAATGGGGTTCAGCCAAAGACCTCGTGGGAAAGGAGGCTTTGGAGGAGAAATTGTCTGGCCTGGGACTCATACTCCCCTCCAACCTCCAAGGAAGGGGTCAGCCCACCACTGGGGTGTTATTTTGGGAGCCTCATTTGAAGAAGGACGTTGAACATCCTTAGTGTAACCAGCGGAGGTTAACCAGGTTGGTGAAGATAATGCCCAGTGACAGTGAGGAGGAGGCAGAAATCAGATTCAGGCTATAGATTTACAGCACGATGATAGCCCTTTAAACAGCCATGGCTTCCCCCAAAGCATTCTGGGAACTGTAGTTTGTTAAGGGCCCTATTTTATTTCCCAGGCCTACATTTCCCAGAGTTCCCTGGGAAGAGAGATTGGTTGTTGGAGCACTCTGGGAATTCTAGCTCTGTGGGGGGAATGTGTGTGTGTGTGTGTGTGTGGGGTCTACTAACAACTCTCAGCTGCGCTCTTAACAAACTACAGTTCCCATGATTCTTTGGGAATGACTGTTAATGTGGTCTGTACAGTGCAAATGGGGACCTCAGTTTGGAGTTAAGGCTGAAACTATTTCCACTTTCCAAACAAGGCAGAAATGCAACCAGCCTTTGAAATTTGCATTTTGCATTTTGTTAAGTAATGAGTTTTGCACTTTGAATTTTGCAACGCAGTTCTCCAGCGAGGTCTCCAGGGGTAAAGAGGGAACTTAAATCCTTAAGTATGAATGAGCCTCGCATACAGAAATGCATTGCGTTAGGGAAAATTGTGTTGGGTTCGGCCAAACCCCACATCCCAATGCGATTTGGGTCAGCTCAGGATTTGACCAGAGAGGGGTTGTGTTAGGCTGGCCCAGGGTCACATCAGGGCTGATCCAAAGCGCTGGATCTGGCCCCAAATTGGATTGTGTGTGTGTGTGTGTGTGTGTGTGCGCACAGACACACACAGCCCTAGTTTTTAAGCAGCGTCTGGAGGACTGTTGGTCAAGGATGTTGGAGTCTGCAAGAATCCTGCACACAGCCTTGGTTATCTGGATGACCTCTAAGGTCCTCAGGTCCTCCTGGTGGGCTTAGCCACTTCAGAGGACCAGGTGCTGGATGAGATGGGTCTTTGGCCCCGATCCAGCAGGCAGGCTCTTCACTCGCAACGATTTCTCTGTTTCTTCATTTATTCATCGCCTCCTAAACCACCACCTCAAGGCAGTTTGCATATGCCATAATTAAAAACCAGAAAAACAACAACAGGAAATGCTTTTAAAGCACGTCTGAAACCTTAACAAATGTGTCCCACCTCGTCTGGCTGGCGTGGGGTTTGATTCAGTAGCTGTTTCGCTTCACAGAAGCAGCTTGATTGATTGATTTAACGTTTTACTGATTCTCTCGGAAGATGTCTTGTCCTCCCCTCCCAGAAATCGAAAGTTTCCGTGATGGACGAGTGAAAGGAGGGAGGCTGATTATTTTTCAGAGCACCGAGAAATGCAGATAAATCTTTTTAAGGGGATGGAAACGCTTTCTCCCACGCTGTGCTGAAGGGGAGGCCTGTTGAGCAGCGGCGGATGCTCGCCCCCAAATCACAGGGGTAATTACACCCCCTTTCTTCTTCTGGCTCATCTTTGCTGATTGGGCAGATAGCTTTGGGGTTTCTAAATAAAACTCCTTCTAATGTTTGATGCGCAAATGCGGAGCAGTGGTGGCGACTGCATAGAGGAAGCACCCAACAAAACCGCAAGAAGCCAAGAGGAAGCCATGAGGCAGGTTGAGGGGCAGATAAGGGGAAGTTTTGCTGAGCGGAGACTTCATAAAGCGGCAGGCTATTTCGGTGGGGGGGGGGTTGTGTTTGTTTAATCAGTCCATCGGAACTGCAGAAAATGCAAAATATAGAAGGTGGGGCATCTCAGCAGAGGAGAGAGCCATTGACAGCTGTGCGAAATAATAATAATAATTAATAATAATTTCTTTATTTATATCCCACCCTCCCCAGCCGACAGAGCCTAGGACTTGCCGATCAGAAGGTTGGCGGTTTGAATCCCCGCGATGGGGTGAGCTCCTGTTGCTCGGTCCCTGCTCCTGCCAACCCAGCAGTTTGAAAGCACGTCAAGTGCAAGTAGATAAATAGGTACCGCTCTGGGCTCAGAGCGGCTAACAACAATAAAAGTAACACAACATTCTAAAATCAATTCAAAATCAAATTAATGGTAACCCTGGGCTAGAGTTCTGTGAAGGTTACCGAAGGAGAGAGGGGGTCAGACTGTGCCTTGGGCAAAGGCCTGGTGGAACAGCTCCATCTTGCAGGCCCTGCGGAAAGATGTCAAGTCCTGCAGGGCCCTGGTCTCTTGGGACAGAGCATTCCACCAGATCGGGGCCACAGCCGAAAAAGCCCTGGCTCTGTTTGAGGCCAGCTTAACCTCCCTGTGGCTCAGGATCTCCAAGATGTTTTTGTTTGAAGACCGTAGGGTCCTCCGTGGGACATACCAGGAGAGGCGGTCCCGTAGGTACGAGGGTCCTAGGCCGTATAGGGCTTGAAAGGTTAAAACCAGCACTTTAAACCTGATCCTGTACTCCACCGGGAGCCAGTGCAGCTGGTATAGCACTGGGTGAATGTGATCCCATGGTAACGACCCCGTAAGGAGTCTTGCCGCGGCATTCTGCACCCACTGGAGTTTCTGGGTCAGTCTCAAGGGCAGCCCGACATAGAATGAGTTACAAAGCAAAGACAGACCCCAGATGTCAGAAATGCTATGCGGAGTGTTCCACAAAACTGTTGAGCCAGATGCGGAAGTCGTTTGACCCTGCCCCCCCCAAAGCTCCCATCAGTCCTATTGGCCTAGTGGTCAGGGCTTTTGATAGGGACTGGGAGTTCAGCAGCAGATGGAAGGCCCCAGGTTCCTCCAGGCCATTGTTAAAGGCTCTGCAGAGCCAAAAGTGGAGGCCACCTGCAGAAGAGGTTCCCCGTCGCACCCCTGCACGAACAACCCCTGCCCTCTCCTCTTTTCTGTTCAGATTCTGCCGCGCCCATTTGCACGGCTGGGTCTATGCATGGCTGCAGAACGGTGCACCCTCAGGGAAGGGTGCCTGTCGCACCCCTGGCTGGCTGGCCCTTCTTGGCTTTCCACCCTGTGTACAAACAGGGAATGGAAATGTGCCTCCTTCTCAGTGTGCACATCTATATATTTTCATAGATCTAGGGTATCAGAGTTTGTTAGCGAATGGTAGAAATTAATAAATGGTAGAAATTAATAATATTTGGGACAGGAAGCTGCAGAACTGCGCCAGACAGGAAATTCCCAGGTTAGCTCATGCAAACCACACTGGCCAGGCTAGCTAACTGCAGAGCCATTGAGAAATAATGGGGAGTCGGGTGCTGGGCCATTGGCAATGCAAAAAGCCCCCCCCCATCTGAAGGCAGCCCTGTTTAGGGAAGTTTTTAATGACTGATGTTTTAATGTATTTTTAATCTTTTGTTGGAAGCCGCCCAGAGTGGCTGGGGAAACC